TTAAAACCTAACAAACCCCCGTAAAATAATTATTTAAGTTTAAAATCTAAATCTAAAAGAAAGTATTTCTGTTCAATTTTATCGACAACTTTGCTATTGCTGAATAATTTTATTAAAATGTTAGCTTAAAAGATTTAAACTTTTTTTTTAATCTGAATTTTTTCTACTTGTAAATAATGAGCATATTTAATTTTTTTTAATTCAAACTTTTATTTCAACTGCGTGCGGTTTTTAAAATACTTTATTAAATGTTAAAATAATCGTAAATTACTTCATTAAAATTCCGCTCAAAAATATCTTTAAATATACTCAAGCAAAAAATTTTTTGCTCGACGCAAATAGCCCTAGCTACACGCAAAATCGCTCTTGGACGACGTAAAATTCACATCGCCCGACGCTTTATCGCAAGGCCTGAGTACTAATGTTACTTGATCTGAGAGCTGCCTTTGACACTATTGATCTGCAAAAACTACTTCGACAATTAACTAGTGAAATAGGTGAAATTGCTCAGCTCACAATTGGTTTGAATCATTTTTGATTAACCATACCCAAAAAATAAAATTGGTAACTCATATTCCAGGAGCCAAAATGTAAAATATGGAGCATGGCAAGGTAAAGTTCTAGGTCCAAACCTCTTTAATATCTATATGAAATCTCCATACAAATATCTGGACATAATCAATTTAAAACCTTTGGATACTCAGATAGTATCCAAAAGGATCATCAAATTCTAAAAGCACTCCTTCCTTCATCTCAATATAATTTAGTCATGGATATACCAAAATGTCTTGGATACATATTTCAATGGATGAGTGAATCATTCTTATGCATTAACCAAATGAAAACAAAAATACTAATCATGGCACTACCTAGCATTCAAAAAGATATCATTATTAGAAGTACTTTTGTTAACAAGTAATGCATTAAATTTGTTGACTCAGCAAAAAGTTTAGGTGTGATACTGGGCAATGAATTATCTTTAAAAACACAAATAAATAAGAGTGTTACAATATAATGAGCAAAATATCCAAAATAAAACAATTCTTATCGCGTAAAGATTTAAGCATTAAAGTATGTTCTCTAAAATTTTCTTTATTGCAACTCCCTCTACTTTGGAATTTAAAGACACTATTAAAAACCCTGCAGTCTGTGCAGCAAGACTTATATTTAAAACCAGAATAAAGAAATCAAGTAAATGATTAGGAATTTAACAGTTTGCATTGGCTGAAAATTAGAGAAAGGATATATTTCAAAGTCATTTTAAAAATGTATTATCCTATGTATGCTCCCCCATCCCAAACCCTCAGTCGATGTAGCAGCACTCCACTGCGAGTCAGGCTATTTGTCAGTCGATGTATGTACTGAAGCCCCCAGCAGCAGGCTATTTCAGTATGACATCAGATTGCTTACCTCAATATGCAATACTATTTGTGTGTATATATATATATATATATATATATATATATATATATATATATATATATATATATATATATATATATATATATATATATATATATATATACACAGGGTTTGAAATAACAACCTTTTTTCTACCAAACTATTTGTCCAGTAAAGACACGAGTTTACCCGACATGTCTAGAGTTATCAATACAATTTGCGTGGTCAAGTTTACAACTTGACCACGCAACTTGTATTGACAACTCTAGACGTTTTAAAATGCACTGAAAATAAAAGTAAAATTTGTAAGATAAATTATCTATCAAAAAGAAAAACTCAAAGATATAGAAAAATCTGAAAAATTTATTTATATTACGCTTTTTAAAAATTTACATTATGCAAAATTCTTTGTAAATTATTAAATACATAAATTATGTAATTATTAAATACATAATTAGATATGTAATAAGAATGTACAATAAATACAAAATTATTAAATACATCAATTATTATGTAAATATATATTAAATACATAAATTATTAAGTTATTACTTTATTAAATATTACTTATTACTTTATTAAAGTTATTAAAGTTACAAATTAATTATGTTTACAATAAACACATTTTCTTTAAATTATCAAAGTATAATATAGGTGTTTACATTTATATAAATATGTATTTTTTTATAAATCTTTTTAAACTTTTTCTAGGATTAATTTTATTAACAATTTTAATAGGAAAAACTTTTAGCACAACTTTAAAACTTTTTACTCAAATTTAATAGTGTAATTAAAAAGTACTGGTTTCTATAAGCATTAAAATAACTATGGCGTTAATTTTTATAAAACAAATTTAAAAGAGATTTTGAAAACTAAAATATTTGTTTAAAATTTCTAAAAACCATCAGAGAAAAAATAAAAATACTTAACTATAAATTTAAATTAATAACTAATTGCAACGTTTTAATATGAATAATAAAACCAGGCTGCTTAATTTGAAAAAATGTAATGCTTAGGGGTATTTTAAAAAATGAATTAACTCAAAAAAATGACATATTTTATTAACATAGCCTTGTGTTCAACTTTAATTAGTTTTGTATAAAAAATTAAAAGTTCAAAAAATAAAGTTTATATACAATACTGAATTTATTAATAATTTTGGAACAACTAAAATGATTAGAAATTAAATGCACATGAAATATATGCTGGTGTGATGTGGGTTTGATGAATGACCAATAGATGTGGGTTTTGTGCCGGACAATGTCCGATGTCCGGCGCTTATTTCAAATCCTGTATATGTATATATATATATATATATATATATATATATATATATATATATATATATATATATATATATATATATATATATATATATATATATATATATATATATATATATATATATATATATATATGCAGTTAGGTCGGCATTCGGCAATGTCGACCTAACTGCTGACCTAAAAGTGTTTGAGGTCAGCAAAAAATCACCAAACAGATTTCTATGTTTTATGGTAACTCCTTTGTATCGAATTTTTTTTTTCCAACCTGATGCCGACCTCTAACACACACACACCCCTTAGTAAAAGTCTTGAACTTACTGTTTTTGTATAAAAACCGCACTTAACTACTTAATGACACCTAATTTGTTTTAGCTTATAACAAAATGCATTAGGAAACTTATTAAATTTTTGTTTTTTAAGGAAAGTTTAAATTCATTTTCATTATCAGTTCATTTTTAATAGCTTAACGACCATCAATGTTACATCCACTACTTTCGCGAAATTGACCATATATATATATATATATATATATATATATATATATATATATATATATACACACTTTCTAAAACGTATTTTCATAAGCATTTGCTCACTTTATATATATATATGTATATATATATATATATATATATATATATATATATATATATATATATATATATATATATATATATATATATATATATATATGGTTAGCCTAGTTTAACTTTGTTATATATATATATATATGGCTAGCTTTTTTATGTTTTTTCTGTCATGATGGTCATAACCGTGACCATCATAACAAAAAATCTAATGCTTAAAATCAACAATTAAAATGGTGCAATTAATGATGTGAGAAAAAAAAGTATAGAAGATTATTAACAACATTATCAAAGTTCTCAATTAATAAATAACATTATCAAAATAACATTATCAAAGTTCTCAATATATGATATACAATATGATTTTTAATGCTACACAACAGGACTCAAGCGTCAAAACATGTTTATGCAACCCTTACTTTAAAACCTGCTATGGTATGATAAAAAAATTTTTATAAATATCTTTTTTGCTTCAAAGTATTTTTAGATAGTTAAAAAAAAGAGTTTGGAGTTTACTAGGTGTCTTCCTAACTTTTTTTTCCTCTTTCTCACAGAAAGAGGATATATTTCCCATATATATATGTATATATATATATATGTGTATATATATATATATATATATATATATATATATATATATATATATATATATATATATATATATATATATATATATATACATATATATATACAAATATATATATGGGAAATATATCCTCTTTCTGTGAGAAAGAGGAAAGTTTTTTACTTTTATATTCCAGGTATATGAAAGTTTTTAATACTTGGTTTGACCACCTTTTTCAGCTTTAAATCTTTCACTCTCTTGGGCATTCCTATGATTAAATCACGGCAAAACTTTGTGGAACATAACGCTGTGGAACCAGACGCGGATTAACCTCTTTATAAGCTGTGCACAGACTGGACTTTCTACGGGAACATGTGCAGGTCTTTCATCAAAATTCGCCTCAAGGAGAACCGGCTGATGGCTAATTGCAAGGCACGGCATCTGGTGGATGTTTCTGGTGACAGTATGACATCCTCGGCAACAGCGGCGATATTTTCGGCAGAACGGGTGCTCCGGGGACAGCCACTCTTGACAATGTCTTGTGTGGTTCCATACTCTTAAAGGTTGGCGGTCAAACGGCGCAGTGTTTGCCCAGTCGACGCCTGAATTGGCGCTGCGCCAACACCACAGACGAATTGTTACGTAAAAAATTGTTCCGCATTCTTGGGGAGTATATCGCTCCATGGCTTGTTCACTTGAAATTTGTTTACTTCACAAATGTTGAAACAGATTTCATATTGTCCGCAATCTGCAAAAAAAAAAAAAGGATATTACTATAGGGTGATTTCTTTTGGCCCACCTTGTATATAAGTATATATATATATATATATATATATATATATATATATATATATATATATATATATATATATATATATAATATATATATATATATATATATATATATTGTATATAAGTATATATATATATATATATATATATATTTATATATATATATATATATATATATATATATATATATATATATTATATAAAATATAATATATTTATAAATGTATATATTTATTTATATATATAATATATATATATATATATATATATATATATATATTTATTTATTTATTTATTTATATAAAATATATTATATTTATATATCGATATTTAAACATGTTTTTATTTTGAATGATATTATTTATTTTTCAGGTTGAAGAAAAAAATTTTTCTGATTTACATGAACTTGAGAACAATCCCCATTCAATTAAAAAAAACATTAATATATCAATTCGACGTAATGTAAGAGCTACAATAAAACAACCTAATAAAGATGAATCAGGTGCATCTAAAAGGTTATTACCCAGCATTAAACGTGAACAACAATCTCAAGAAAATCATAGCGCTAGATTAGGTATGAATATTATATCTATATATTGGTTGCGTAAATAAATTATATAAAAAAATAATTATGTTAATGCTTTATGTGGAGAGTGATATTTTGAGTTGTTTAATTTTTATAAATTCAAATAGTGCACTGTTATTTAAAGTTCAAAAATATAATTTAACATTAAATTTTAGTTTTAATTTTCAACTTTTCAGTTGAAAATTTTATAGGGTCCCATAGTTTTTATTTTGGTAATGCATAAAAAATAGATTAAGAAAAAATTCTTGTAAAATCTTTTACAAGAATCTTCTTGTTAGAATTTCTGAAATTTGTATAATTGTTTTAAATTATAATATGCATTGTTTTTTTATCACTGGCTCACCATTATTACCATCTTCATTGGCTTGACTTACCTAGCATAATTTCATGAATCGTTTTTATGTGTTTTATCATTGCACCAGTTGAGCCATTGCTGTTCAAAATCTTTGTTTTGCATATTTTGCTTTTCCATTATAAATTTGGTTAGAATGTACCCATATTTTTGATATTTTTTCAGAACTTATCAAGATGGATAAAAATAAAAAGCTTTAATTTTGAAAGGATAAATTTAAACTAACTGAAAGAATTACCTTTATATTTTGTCGATATAAATAATCTTTTAAGTTTTATTCAAACAAACTATTAAACAAAATTCACTTCAACAAACAATTCACCTCAACAAACAATTCACCTCAACAAACAATCCACCTCAACAAACAATTCATTTCAGAAAATGATTGAAGAAATAAAACAAAAAACTTTAGTAAGCAATAATCTTGATTAATATTTCATTCGAAACCTATTTTTAAAAAAACTTTGTTACTATAGAAAGTTATTATGAGTAGTTATGCATGACATTTTTATAATAAATGACCAATTAGTGTTATGATACAATTTCGTGTAAATAATTGTATATATAGAGAGAAATAATTTTAAATGTTTAGGAAATATTGTTTCTATATAAATTATGTTTAATTTTTCTAAAAGATATCAGCGTTTATGCATAATTAAAGACTTTTTTTATGTGAAACTATAATATCATTTACATTTAAAAAATAATGGATTAGAAATGTAAATTTCAAATGCTCAAGAAATTTTTAAATTTTGAAAGTCAAAGAATTTTTAAAAAATTAGTTAACGGATATTGGATTTATTTAATGGATATCTGATTTAAATACAGAAAACCTCAAAAAAAAGTTGCATTTTTATATTAAATTTGATTGTTTACAGTTTTCATATTGTAAATAGTTTATTGAAAACAATAGATTTAAGATAACACAGTAACCTTTTTTTTTTTTAAGTTAGATACAGGTCTTATAATTATTTTGACTCCTTAAATAAAAAATTACCATCTTCCATTACAAACCTGTTCACAGAAAGAAACTAAATGTGTCACCTTATAAAACCCAGAAGTATGATAAACTTTCTATTGTCTATCAGTACATCTGGGAATGAAACAGGATCATGTATGTATTTTGAATGAGTTCAAAAAACTATATCAGTATTATAACCTGCAAGTTATGATTTCTACATGTTTATTTTTAATGTATATTCTATGTGCATTAATCTATGTGTTTATGTTTTATGTGTTTAAAAAATTGGTGTCACTCCTTTGATCACACTTCTGTGACACCATCCTAATAAATCATTATCTTATTATTATAAATAATATTATGCTTATATCTCTTATTATAATATTTATTATTTTTTTATTTTTACTTTTTGTTGTAAGTATACTTATTATTACTATTACTATAATTTGCATTAATTTTTTTATCTTATATTATTATTGTTATTATTATTATTGTTATTATTATCTATTACATATTAATATTGAACTTAATGTCATAACCCATTCGCGCATGTTTGACACAGAACACAACAAGAAGGAGTCACAGCACTTTTTTTATTAGAAAATGTGAATGAAAGTGTATGCAAATATCTAACTTATGTAAACTTCAAATTATGTAATTTTAAAACATATCAAGTTTTATAGTTTTACATTTCCTTGAAAATTGCATTAGGGCAACATCTCCTTAATTTTGATTTATAACAACATCAATTTATATATATATATATATATATATATATATATATATATATATATATATATATATATATATATATATATATATATATATATATATATATATATATATATATATATATATATATATATATATATATATATATATATATATATATATATTTTATATATATATATATATATATATATATATATATATATATATATATATATATATATATATATATATATGTATATATATATATATATATATATATATATATATATATATATATATATATATATATATATATATATATATATATATATATACAGTGGCGGCACAAAGTAAGGACAAATCCAACAGAATCTAGCATTTTTTACATTTAAGAGGTTCTAACGAAAGAGATTTTAAGAGATGTATGTTTTCTTATCCAAATTATTGAACACAACATACAGAGTGAACACATATGTAAAATAAACATTGTTTTATTAATATTTGGTATGGTATCCACAAGCTTTAATCACACACCTCATACGGCTAGGTGGGATATTGTTCCACGCGCCTTGTAACAATACCCACAGGTCATCCAAATTGGATGGTTTCTTTCCCTCAATGCTCTTTAGACATGACACTCCATAAATTCTCGATGGGGTTCATGTCTGGACTCTGAGCAGGCCAGTCGAGCACATCCACTTCATTTTGACGAAGGAAATTGGTTACCTTCTTTGCTTTATGATATGGCGCATTGTCATGCTGGAAAATAAACCGATTTCCTTGTCCAAACAGAGTATCAGCAGATGGTAGCATTGAGCACCCGATCGGTATGAGCTGTTGTCTTCTTTAGCCTTCCGGAACGTGCCTTGTCTGCTGTAGAACCTGAATTTTGATATTTCTTAACAATTTTCCTGATGCCGCTTGCAGTATAACCAAGAATTGTTGCAATTTTACTATAATTTTTACCATTTTCTGCCATGAAAACAGCACGGAGGCGCTCTTCCTGGAACAAGCGACGATATTTTACCATTTTTTCTACAACAAAAAATACTGATATAAGATCATTAAATTAAACTAAAACAGACAAAATAATATTAATACTGATAGTGAAGCTGTCAAAATAGAAGCAGATGCTAATAAAACACAAAAAAATTGGCTAAAATAAAAAAACTTGGTGGAGAATACCTTAAAACTCAATAGTTCAACATGAAGTATCAATATCCCACTCTGCAGCACTTGACGCATTTTATGTTATTAAAGCAGGGAAAACCACTCATAAGCTTCTAGACAAATGCATTAAAACAGCTGTTGAACAAAACCGCTTTGTTTTTAAAAGCATTATAAAAGCATTTCAAGCTCTTGTTATTCAAGGCCTACCATGGTGTGGGCATCGAAACAAAAATGCTACCACGATTTTGCACCCTTATCTGCTTCATGGAAACATTCAAGCTTTGTTAAAACTGCTTATAACTGTTGGTCCCATGCTAATGGGACCAACAGTTATAAGCAGCATGCATATTTTTATAAAATTCAAAAGTATTTTATAAATACTTTTGAATTTTATAAAAATATGCATGCTAACTACTATATTTATAGTTACTCCAAAGAAATATATACCGACTCATAAAATTAGATCTGCAAAACGCGGAGATGCAAAATATTTTGAAACATCTAATGGTAACCTACGGGAGCAGTGGTGGAAGTACTGTATGAAATAGTTATATGCATTTCCAAGATTGGCATTTGAAGAAATACATTCTGTAATATACAATAATATTGTGACAGAGATGTGTGACAGGATGTGAAGATAAAGGATGTGAAGATTTGAATATATTGTGTTCAATAGTATGTCCAAACATGCCCCTTACTAAGACTGACGAAAAAATTGATGCTCACAATTTCAACTCATATATTTCAAAATTTCCTATGTTGAACAGGATCGATTGTGTCACTCTATACTAAGAACTAAAAATACTTCGATTATATTCGATAGATCTTGGCTTACGTCGAATTGAATATTTGAATGACGACAATGAAAATGAATATAGCGAAGTTAAGGCCTCAGATAGTGAATATGATGAAGTAAAAGAGAATGAAATTTATCAAACAGGAGCTCATAGAGAAAAGAGTCATCTTGTGCACAGATGCTTTTTATGCATGTACCGGTAAGCTATTTTATTTGTATATTGTGTCTAATTATTTTTTCAATTTTTAGTTAAATGATTTTTATTTTTGCACCCTTCAGGTATATTCTGCAACGGAGGGCATTAAGTGGATTTTTTTCAATGAAAAATACGTTCCTTATATACCGCCACATTTTAATGCTTAGCATTGATATTGACAAGTGTGAGAGAGTATTTTCTGAGCTGAAACATGTAAAAAATTGGTTGAGAACCAAATTGACTCAGGAACATACATGTGACACTTTACATTTTTGAGGAAATCCCGCTAGATGACATCATAAGTACTATTGCAGCATGAAGTTGTGAACGGTCTTGTCTTCTACGCGGATAGTTTTTGTATTTTCATGTATATTGCAGTTTATGTAAATGTTTATATAACTTGTATATTTAATTTTTTCTTCATTCTTTTTCAACCTTGCTTAGGGTATAATGTTGTTAAGTTATTGTTTTATTCACCTCGCTGTGTGTTAAGGCTCCCTAAAATGAATGTATCTGGAATACTTTTAAATAGAAATAAAATGCTTTATTTATTTGTATATATAGAAAAAATATTTAACTACTTTTTAAATAGCAGTAGTACATACAATAAGAGCAGTTTTATAAAAACTCACACAAATTATTTATATTTAAAAATGTTGCAATTTTTGTTTATGAAAAAACAATTAGTCGTTCTAATTTAACAAAAATTTTATCAATATAAATATTTTTCCATAATTTAAAATTGAAAACAATTATTTCTCATAATAATCATTGGCTAACTTAAATAATTTTTTCTATATAACGACTGATATAATAAGCAATTTAAGTGACGTAATGATCAATTATTTTTTCCATTATCAACTTTGTTTTGAGGCAAAAGTTACAAACGGTTGCATTTTATTATGCAAAATACTAATATATATGCGCTTGAAGTCCAACAGTTTGAATCAGAGATTTGTTAAAGAATTTAACTTGTGGAATAAAAAAAAAAGCAAATAAATATCATTTGTGAATCATTTTCAGAATGTAGTAAAGGGTATAAAAATTCAAAAAAAGGCCTTTCTAGGATAAATATGATAGGCCCAAGCGGAATTCCTGCATAGCCTCTGGGTTCAGCACGCCACTGGCTGACATGTCAGTTCATGCATTATAAATTTGTATATAAATATATACATATACTAATAAAATCCTTTTTGTTTGGAAGACGTGGTTTTATATGTAGCAATTCTCGGGCCCTGTTCACAAATGTTTCACTTTTTGAATAAATATGTTTTAGTTTATTACCAAAATCTCTATTTATTATAGCTTTATGAATCATCTTTATTCTAATATAATAATCATATTTATTCTATATGTTCTATTCTGAATTTTTTATAGCTGACATGTCAGTTCATGCATTATAAATTTGTATATACAAATATACATATACTAATAAAATTATTTTTGTTTGGAAGTCATGGTTTTATATGTAACAATTCTCGGGCCCTGTACACAAATGTTTCACTTTTTAAATAAATTTGTTTTAGTGAAACTAATATAGCAAAAAAAACACTACTTTTTTAGCTAGTTGAGCATTTTTGATTTGAAAAGTTTTATAACTTCGTGCAGCTATTGAGCGTGTTTAATTTTTTTTTCCGAGAAAAGATAAACCACTTACTCGAATCTTCTCCTAAAATATATTGCAAGTGGCAGATCAACAATTTTTGGAGCACTTGGCTATTTTTTTTCATTTTTTGAAAAAAACAAACAAAATTAAAGATAGTATATAAACTAGTTTACAACCGATTTTAAAAACTATAGTCATGACTAAACTCTGGTCAAAACTATGAATCATTGAGTGAAGATTTAATTTTGGTTATCTTTATTGCTAAATTATGTATTTAAAATAACTAATATACGAAATATTATAATTTATTTATATTTATATATATATATATATATATATATATATATATATATATATATATATATATATATATATATATATATATATATATATATATATATATATCATTGAAACTAAAAATATTTTTGTACTAAAAATATAAACTTTTAGTTTGCAAAAACCTCAATTTTCTAGGAAAGTTAACCTTGTTTTAATTAGATTATGGGTTATTTAAAACTACAGAAGTTGAAAAAATGAAATTAAAAAGTTTAAAAAATAAAATTATGTTTACAAATTTTAAATCGAAATCAGATCTAAATTAACAACTCGAGATCTTTATAACAAAGTTTAAAATTTTAATTCTTACTTTTATAAAAAATGTATTGAATAAAATTATGTAGACGTATATATTACGCTTATAGTTTGGTTATATATTTATGTTTGGTTTAAGAATATAGCAAATAATATTTAAAGAATATAAGAATATATAAAATTTTTTGAAGACATCAAGTCGAAGGATGATGTTGACTAAACCGTTATTCTAACCAACTACATTCTTCCAGCTTTTTTACATTTCATCAAATAGTAACATTTTTTAGCTTTAGCGATTGAATAACCGGTTAAGTCTTCCGCTTTGTTTGTATTGCTCTTTTTTTAAAAAAAAATTTGATTTAAGCATATAGAAGGATCAAAAAAAAAAAAAAAAAAAGGGTTATGGGTTAAATCTGAAGGTCTTCAAAACTAAAATTTACATGATTAAAATGTCTCAAATACCCGACCAACTGACTATGTTCTTTAAAAAACTATCTATGACTTGAAAATCACCTTTTTTGGGGGTGTCACACTTCCCCGTAAAATTCCTGTTAAGATTTTAATTTTAATACATCTATATATTATAATATATGCATATATGCTATAATATATATACAGGCCTCAGAGGGAGTAAATAAATGCGAGAGCGAAGAAATGCTCTCCTATATATTATAACTAGATATATATATATATATATATATATATATATATATATATATATATATATATATATATTATCAATGCTGTTTAGCCTGTTATCTATTGTTTATTTATATTTGGTAAAGTAGAATTGTAGCTCTTTTAAGCAGATAGAATACTTGTCTACTTATTCACTTGCATTATTCAACTTGCATTATTCAAAGTTAAAGTTATATCTTAAAAAACTTTTAAAACACAACATTACCTATCATTATTCATAAATACCTTTCTAAAACCAAACAAAGGATCTTCATTGTTACGTTAGGTTTCCGAAAGAGGCATAATAACTCGATCTCTTCACTAAATATTTTAATCAATTATTTGTATTTTGTATCAGATAAATTACTAATTGATATGAAAAACTTTTTCTAATGCTACGTTATTAAAAGTAAACTTCTACATACTGGTTAAAGTATCTTTTTCTTGCAAAAAGTCATGTAAATAAATCAAACATCCAAAGATTTTTGAAAAAAAAAAGAGTTTAAACTGTTTCAACCAATATCATTAATTTTATTAATAACCATAAAATAAATTATCAACATAATAAGCCAAAAAGTCACTTATAAATTATCAACATAATAAGCCAATAAGTCACTTATAAATTATCAACATAATAAGCCAATAAGTCACTTATAAATGTTTTAGATAATAATTGTTAAGCTTGTTTATACATGTTTAGTATAAACATAACATAGTATTACTTCAATATTTTATTAATATTTTTTTTGTTATTTACCTCCTCAAGGCCAAGAAGGCCACTACAGACGAGGAGGCTACTAAAAATTGTGGTTATAACACTCTCTGTCAACTCTAAAACTCTGAAACACGAACCTTGACGAACAAGGCTGCTGCGCTGAGAAACAAGTTGAGCGTGGTACTACCAGGGACTTGGTGGGGATTGAACTCGGAACCTCTTGCTTATGAAGCGAGTGTTTTACCACTACACCACTACCTATATAATACTCTACACTACCTGTATAATACCACAATATAATACCACTATTTAATACCACTACCTATATAATACCACTACCTATATAATACCACCACCTATATAATACCACTACCTATATAATACCACTACGTATATAATACACTAGTATATAATATATAAAAAATTTTTCAAACCATGTAGGTATGCACTTTTTGCATCCACTTGGTGTACAATTACATTTTCATGTTCAGATAGATTCAAAATTACCCTCACAGATTTAAACCTAGCAGTGGGTGAAAATGTTTCGAATAAAACTCCTTTAACTTGGTGAAATTTTTTGGTATATATTGAGCTTTATGTATTAGATGATCACCATTTACCTCCAATTAGTTTTTTCCCATTTGGCTAGGTAGTGAGAGTATATGTAAGGTTTTCATTTAATGATTTTATTTCTTTATCTATCGCTCCCATTCACAGGCTTCTTCAATGCTGATGGCATCACTATAAGGTGTGGGATGCTCCACTATAAGAAGTATTTTAAGTCAATAACACTAGTCAATATATTTAATTGTTGCTTTCTGATTTATCTATTATGTAATCATTTTAGTATTTAGGTGGTTTTCTAATTCTCTTTGTTTTAATCGGAAAAAATTTGTTCTTTATATGATATTTGTTCTTTATATGATAGGTGATTTTCTAATTCTCTCTTACAGTTTTAATAGTTTGTATCATTTCGGTTGATTTTGATCTTGTTGCAAATTTTTAATTTTATTTAGTGAGTGATTTAGGTTCCACATTTTAGTACTGTTTTTTTTTTTAAACTTTACATTTTATTTTTCATAACAGTATTTTGTTTGTTTGATCTTTCTATTTCTTTAAAGCTTCTAATTACATGTTTAAATTTTTCTTTTAAATTGAATTTTAATTGTGTTACAACTGCAATAAAAGATTTATATTCATAACATAAGCATATTCATATTCATAACATAAGCATTACAATCTGCAAATCTCAGCTCTGTTGCTAATGTTTCTTTAATGTTCTGCTATATAGTCAGTAATCTGATCTTTTAAAGAGTTGTTAGGTGATTGTACAATCTTATATTTCTGAGTTTACTATACCTAGCATAGTGGACTTTTACTATACCTAGCATAGTGGTCTTTACTATACCTAGCATAGTGGACTTTTACTAGTACCTAGCATAGTGGTCTTTAAGGATCAAGAATGCTTCTCTTCCTTTTCCTTTTGCAACTCACATAACTAATGAAAGTAATGTTTTATCTAGATAATCAATTACTTCTGCAAACACTAATTTGTTTTCATGGTCCCCAACATCTTGGGTTCCAGTAAATACTTCTTATAAACCTTTATGCTTCAATATCTCAGTTTTTTTTTTCCCACAATTTAAACTTTCTTTAGTCTCTATTAAACAAATACTTTGGTTCAAAAACTGGAAATTTCTGGACCCATACCCTGTTAAGTTGAATTAGTATACTAATAAAATATTCCTAAAGTGTAATCTAATATATATTTAACATGTGGAAGTAGACACGCTTACAATATATAATACAAATCTCTATGTAATAATCTGAGATAATATATAATCAAAGTGGTGACATTACAAGAGCTGCATAGACGACATCATCTTAACAAATTAATTTGCCTAACTTTTTTAGTTACTAAAGCAGGTGTTCATATTTTAAGTATAAACTAGATGGAATAACAATATCTTTTTAATGACAGTTGTCATGACATTTTGTCAGATAATCAGTTTTTATCTACTTGTATATTATTTATTTGTATATATTTTTTATGTATATTATATTATTTATTTTTTATATATAATATTTATTTATTATACTTTCTTTTTATTAAGTTGTATTGTAACACTTCTTTAAAATGTTTTTTTTTTTGTTTTTGTTTTTTCAGGATCTCTTATCTGCCAAGGAAAATCTGTGGAATTTAAGCACATAGTATTTGATGAAATACTTGGATCAGGAGAGTATGGCCATGTTAGTGGGGGGCGTATAATTGATGAAGGTGATCCCAACATGTGTAAAGATGTTTCTATTAAGATGTTGCATGGTGAGCACACTTTCAAATAGAATCAAAAACAAAAGGAAATGTTATCAAAAACATTTTTGTAACATTTAAAAAAATATTGTTTAGACAATTTTTTGTTTGTTTAATCTTTCAGACAATGCATCTGCAGAAACTTACAGAGATATGCTTAATGAACTTAGGATGATGAGACGTGTTTCAAGACATCCAAATGTTATTTCACTTATTGGTTGGTGTATAACAGATAGTAAGTTTTTTATTAGATGACAATAAGCTATTAAAAATTGTTTTTTATTGGTCAGTATTGAATACAAATGTTTATAATTTGAAATAGTTAGAAGATTTATAATTTCATAATAAGGAAGAATACATTGGAAAAAAAAAATTAATCAGTGCCAGTTTAAAAATACTCAAATTTAGAAACATTTTTTGGTAAAGTTTGTGATTACTTTTTTCAATTTTTGTATTTGTAGAAAATCTATATGTTCTGGAAGAGTATGCTCCCTTTGGATGTCTTTTAACTTTTTTGCGTACTCAGCGTCTTCTTCGACTAAGACAAGAGAATTTAGAAGAGTTACCATCAGAAGATCAGATTGATGAAAAAACATTGCTTTCATTTTCTTGGCAAATTGCCTCAGGCATGAAGCATCTTGCAGGACTTCAGGTATTTTTTTAATATTATTTATAAGGTTTGAATACACAACAGAGAGGTATACTATTTTTTTAGATGTCAAAAAATATCAGTTTTCACACCATAAAGAGTAAAAAACTTTTTTTTCTTCAAAAATTTAATATATGATAGTGGTGTAGTGGTAGAGCATTTCATAGGCAAGAGGTATACAAATCCCACCATGTTTCTAAATGTGCAGTGTTCAACATGTATATCTGTGCAGCGGTCTTGTTCATTAAGGTTTGTGTTTTGATGTTGTAGAGTTGAGAGAGGGTTCTAACATTAATTTAAAATTTTTTTGAAAATAATTTGACTAGTCTACTTGATAATAGTGGCCCCCCAAGTTTGTGGATGTGAATATAGAGTGAAGTTAATATTTTTATGCAACAAATGTAGAATTGTTCACTTTTAGATTTAGTATTATTTGTTTTTTAATTTCATTGCTAAAATGTGTGTTTTTAGATTGTTCATCGAGATTTAGCATGCAGAAATATTTATTTGGGACATGAAAAAGTATGCAAAATTTCAGAATATGGACTGACAAGAGATATATATGCTGAAAATGTGTACAGAAAAAATACAGGAGTATGATTTTTAATTTAAATTTCATTTAAAATACAGGAGTATGATTTTAATCTAAAATACTTGAAGCATTAGTTTTTTTAGTTTATATTTTAATTAAAATTATTTATTAAAGGGTCAACTTCCAGTTCGTTGGATGGCTTATGAAGCAATTTTTGAAAGTCTTTACACTGAAAAATCTGATGTGTAAGTTGATTTGTTTTTGATTTTCCATATACATATATACATATATATATATATATATATATATATATATATATATATATATATATATATATATATATATATATATATATATATATATATATATATATATATATATATATATATATATATATATATATATATATATATATATATATATATATATATATATATATATATATATATATGTATATATATATATATATATCGTTTTCCTGATTAATAAAATTTGCAATCTTTTAAGTTGTCTGTTAATCATTATCTTACTTTACTTCAACTCTAATAGTGGCTGTATATATATGTATGTATGTATAATATATTTATATATATATATATATATATATATATATATATATATATATATATATATATATATATATATATTATATATATATATATAATATATATATATATATATATATATATATATATATATATATATATATATATATATATATATATATATATATATATATATATATATATATATATATACACACTTACTAAAGCGTGTTTTGATAAGTATTTGCTCACTTTTTCTGCTTACCTTAAGCCGTACCGTTTTTTTTTTGAAAAAGAAGAAAAAATAAACGAAGAATGATGAAAAAAACGATTGCTGCCCCATCCCAAACCCTCAGTCGATGTAGCAGCACTCCACTGCGAGTCAGGCTATTTGTCAGTCGATGTATGTACTGAAGCCCCCAGCAGCAGGCTATTTCAGTATGACATCAGATTGCTTACCTTAGTATGCAATACTATTTGTGTGTATATATATGTATATATATATATATATATATATATATATATATATATATATATATATATATATATATATATATATATATATATATATATATATATATATATATATATATATATATATATATATATGTAGATAGATAGATATATAGATAGATATAAATATATATGTATATATTATATATATATACATATATATATATATATATATATATATATATATATATATATATATATATATATATATATATATATATATATATATATATATATATATATATATATATATGTATGTATATATATATATATATACATATACACACACACACACACACACACACACACACACACACACACACACACACACACACAAGGCTTCCCAGAAAGCATTTGTGGTTGCCTTGTTTGTCCACGTTTAAAGTAATTTTTTTAAACACACTGACCACGGCAGTTCGCATTTTTTAACTTTTTAAGTGTTTTAATAATTCGCGACAAAAAACTAAACTTATCTGTCGATAAAAAAAAAAACATTTTTAAAAAAAGGAAACAATTTTGTAATGAAATATCAAATTTTAATTATATAAACTAGAAAAATTAAATAAAAGAGAAAAAAAATTTTATAAAATTTTTATACAACTTTTTTATTCGTTTTTTTAGGTTTTTATTTTTAGAAAGTTTTGATATGCAATTTGTTCACAGTTTTTAGAGTGGTTTTTATTTTTAGAAAGTTTTGATATGCAATTCATTCACAGTTTTTATCAGCCTGTATAATTAAGAAACTAATTTGCTATGTATGTTAAAACTATAAGAAATTTTGAATGCACATAATTAATTCTGTAGCATAGGTAAAAGCATTAGATGTATTGAGTTGACAATTCTTTGATCATTTTGAATTTTTTTTAAAGTATTGGCAAGAAGAATATTATTTTGTAATATTTTTAAAGTATTGATAAGGTGAATATATTTTCTCGCTTGATACAGCTTGCTGTCATTTGCAAATAGTTGATGCTACAATCATCCTTAAAACAGGAAACTACTTTGTTTAAATAAACTAAAAGTAAATTGGATCTATGACAGTTCCTTAAGGTATTCTACTTTTTACAAAAATGTTGTTTGAATATGTGTTATGAGTTACAAACAGGTGGAGAACTATTTGTTAAGAAGTATGTAATTCAGGTTATCAATTCATACTTAACACCATAACAGAGCATTTTGAACATTAACTTAGAGTGAGACACAGTATCAATAACATTCTCAAAGTTTATAATTGTTATCAACTATCTTTTTGTTATTGACAAAAGTTGTCCACTCCATAGAAATAGGTCTATAGTTTATGGTTAAATATAGGTTTCCTTTCATAAATATTGGGCATACTATAGCAGTTTTTCAGATTCTATGTTTTTTGGCATTGACATTTCAAACAGAAAAGAAAAAGGGTTTTACATTTATTTTAAAAATACAGAAGGATGTCCTAAATGAGAAGATTGGGAAAACTTTGATGGAAACTTTTTTAGGTGCAATAACAGAAAAAAAAATTAATCCGTGATTCTTCACAATCATCAGTACCAAGAGAAATCATTAGAAGTTTTTATCAGGTGTGTGTGTTTGTGATATAATGAAATTTATAAAATCAACAAATATTGTAACCTGTGGTAACTGAGAGCAGTAAAATATTTTGTTTGTCTGCTAAGTAATATTTAAAGGTGCCTATATAAATGCAAATATATAACACAAAGCCATCAAAACTTTTTTACTAGTTTACTCCTCTGTTTTCTTATTACTTTTTTTTTCTTATAGTTGGTCGTTTGGAATACTTTTGTGGGAATTAATCTCTTTGGGTAAAATACCATATCCTGAAATTATAAGAACCGAGGAGCTACTTGATGTTCTTGAATCGGGTTATCATATGGAAAATCCTGGTCACATTTCAACAGATTTGTAAGTTTTTTTTTTTTAATAAATTTTATAATTATGGTCAAAGCTCCTATTTATTGCCGTTAACTTGTACTGCCGTAAATTCATTTCCGTCAACTTGTACTGCTGTCAGTTTTGAAAACACATAAGTTTGATAACTTTTATAAACAACATAATAGCTGTATTGTGGTTAACATTTATAGATAGTGAAAAATTAAGTTGCTTGATTTTGATATTTGATTGATTGGTTTGATTCCCCACTAACATGACCGTATTCTCCTAAACCAAGCGTTCCATTAAATAATATATATTATATATTTTATTAAATGAAACACTTTGATCAGGTGAACATAGGATTTATTTAGGTACTTAACTATAACTGGCCAGTTATGGTTAGGTATATAAATAAATGTTTCATACCATTTATGTTTTTTAAAAAAATTTACTTTTTTTTAAAGCTATTTGTTGATGAACTCTTGTTGGAATAAGGCTCCAGAAAATCGTCCATCATTCAGTAGCCTTGTTAAAAAGTTGGCTGAGTTTATGAATGATAAAGACGAGGTTTGTTTTATCATTTTTTGTAAATTTAAAAGAAAGTATTGAATATTGTTTTTATAATTCTTTATGAGGTTTTTGATTTTGTTATTGAATAGATGCACGTGAATCTGAATAACTTCTTTAAAAAGGAGTTGGACAATTTTCTTCAAGATGAAGAGGTTTCATCGCCCACAACTGATTTCCATAAAATATCTCCTTTTGACAATTTGCCGGTTTAAACATAATTGCTACGTTTGCTTGAAATTTTTGTTAAAGTTATTTAATTCGAAATCATTCTGCTGAAATTTCACCGTTTTTTACCGTTATTCTAATTTAAATATTTTTTATATGTAATAAAATGAAATTTTATTTAGAATCCTTTTGCCGTTTAAAATGTTTAATTGTTTATATAAATATTTTATAAAATATTTTTAAAATTTATTTTTATTACTTTAATATAGTTTAAGAACAAAATGGTTTTGTGTTTTTGTATCTTTACTTGTTTTTAATATTTTTTAAAAAATTTATTTTCCCATAATGTCATTATTCTACAATGGAAATGAAAGTTTCACCAGGATTACTGTAATCTATGGTTACAGATATCTATGGTGGTACTTGTTATCTATGGTGGTACTTTATTTGTGCCATGAAAATTGGTCTTTAAAGTTGTCAAACTTGCTGGTCCTTGAAATCATTACCTGATTTAGTTATATTTGAAATTGTTGTTAAAATCATATTATTTTAGGATATATATTTTTTGCATATATTAGGGGGGGGGGGGTTTTTTAGTATATATAAAATTTTTTATTTACTAACGAAGACTCAGATAAGTTATATATAAGAATTTGACGAATTTTATATGAGAAATAATTGTAATAAGGCTTTGTAAGAGCTTTTTAAATTAATTTATATTTTAACCAGTTTTCATGTTTTTAATGAGATTTTGTTTTGTTTATAATTTTTTTTATTTTTATTAAAATGTAATATTTTAGTTAAATAAAATACAACAAATATAAAATATAATATAAATAAAATATTTTTATTAAAATAAAAATATTATAAACCAAAAAAAATCCGATTAAAAATATCAAAATTGGCCAATACCTAAATTTATTTAAAAAGCACTTGCCAAAGCTTAACATTTAATTAAAAGTTATTTTTCTCAGTTTTATGTTTTTGAAATATTTTTCGTTATTTTGAGTTATTTCAATTTTTCGATTATTGTTAGGAAATTTATCGATTATCTTTATAATCAATTTATATATTATCTTAGGAAAAGTTTTCTTTTTTTATTTAAGTTCTTTCACAGTTTTTTCATTAATGTTGTAGAAAGGGCTGGTAGTAGTATAAATGAAAAGTATTTTTTATTTTGGTTGAAATTTAATATTTTATTTCGCTGGTGGGACTAATCTTTTAACTGAAATAGGTCTATATCAGCTAATTTACGTTAGCTAGGTATTTTTTAAAACTTTTAGCTTTGAGTAAACTTTTAGCTTGTAGCTTTAAGAAAACTAACTTGTAGCTTAATGAAAATTTTTAGCTTGTTAACTGATATCGAAAAATGTTTCGAAAAAAAAAACCAATAAAAATTAAAAAAAAAAAAAATCACATTTCACATTTTGAAAAATTACTTCAAGATTAATTTTTATTCTGATAAAGCTGAAGAAATGCTACAGTAGGGGCTATTAGAGTAAATGTCAGGGACAGATTTCTTCCGCGAACACAAATATTTTATTTTAAAACCTCATTTTACTCTATTTTCAAAGCTTTTCAAGTGTGAGTTTGTTTCATATCTTAAAACAATTTATTAGAAAATCCAAAAAAAAATTCAAGGCTCTGAGGCAAGAGAAACTTTCAAAAAAATGAACAAAAAACATCTATTTTTCTTATTTTATAATTATTAAGGTGGTACACCACCAAATATTCAAAACTTTTCAAACTTTAAAAAAAAAATGATAAATTTTATATCATTTTATATTAATTTGAAATGCTTTTTAATACTTCATTTTACTTTGCCTCGATAACCTTGCCTCCATTTTATCGAAAAACATTTATTTTAATGGGTCAATTTAAAACACGAAAACTCGAAATATTATTTAATACATGAATTTTTTTTTACTTATGTTCTAGACATGTAAGGTAAAGTATTGACATTTGGATTTTAAGATTTTCAAAGTAGGGGAAATGGAGGCATAACCGCCCCCGTAACGTTTGGATTAATGTTAAATGAAAATAAAAACGAAATGTGTTTTTTAGCAAATTTCAATAACCACATCATTAAGCTTTAAATTGTTGCATTTAAGAAAAAAATTGAACGGGTTTTGAAAATGTTATTACACAAAAATTACACTTTGTGAAAAAAAACGATTTTGTCCCAATTGTCAGGTACGACCGCACCCTCACAAAAATTATTGGGGGTACACTTTTCTAGGTTCATTTTCTTTGCAATTGTCATAGCTCAGATTATTTGAGATTTTGTTGCAAGTTTGCATACTGTGTAGGCATTCTTTGTACTTACAGTCTCAGTTTTCTCATTCGATATACTCTTAGCCTTATTTTTATTCAAAAACTTATAAAAATTAAATAAAAAAATACGAAATCTAATATCTAACATCACAAAACAAAACTTTTCTAACATCTTTTCTAACAAAAAACAAAACTTTTCTGTCAAAGCTTTTCTCAAAACAAAACTTCGCTAAAATCTTTACCAACTTTTCTATTATCTCAATGCAAAACTGTTCAAGTTTTTACATAAACGAATTCAAGTGTGACGATTGTAATTGTTGTTATTCGTAATTACTTAACTTTAATAAATAATAAAATTATGCGGTTGCGCCTCCTCTGCGCCTATGCGGTTCTGCTCTAGAGGACAGTTTTTAGAATACAGTTTCAAAGCTTGCTTATTAGATTATGTTGATATCAAACTCGGTTTTCACTTGATGAAATAATGCTGATAACACATATCTTTAACACTAAAATCAAATATTGCTTTATCCTCAAAAAAAAAAGGTCTTTAAAAATATGATGTAAATACAATATTTTTATTAAAATAAACATTATTATGCACAACTTCTCAGAAACATAAAAGGCACTATAAAGAAATCGTTATCAAAGTATAGCATGTAATAAAAATCCACATATGTTGTAATTTACAAACAAACAAAATATTGTAACGAGTCATCATCATGTAAAGAACGCGGCAAGCTTGCACAAGACCGATGCACAATGGTCTGAAAAACTTGATTTTTGGCCCAAATCAAAATTTTGATGTTTTTATACTAAATCGATAATGCTGAATCCAAATCTAAAAACAGTTTTTGATATAAAGATTTTGTTGTTCAAATATCGCATAAGTGATATATATATATATATATATATATATATATATATATATATATATATATATATATATATATATATATATATATATATATATATATATATATATATATATACACACACACACACACATGTATATATGTATATATATGTATATGTATATATATATATATATATATATATATATATATATATATATATATATATATATATATATATATATATATATATATATATATATATATATATATATATATATATATATATATATATACTCTTGCATGGCATCAAAAAAAGTTTCCCATAAACTGTAGTTTTAAAGAGCGCGTTAATAAACCAGACCAGAAAAAGTTTTAAAAATTAATTTTTTTTTTTTAATTGATAGACTGCCTGGCCAAACCAAACCCTCAGTCGATGTAGCAGCACTCTCTTGCGAGTCAGGCTATTTGTCAGTCGTTGTAGCAGCACTCCCTTGCGAGTCAGGCTATTTGTCAGTCGATGTAGCAGCATTCCCTTGCGAGTCAGGCTATTTGTCAGTCGATGTAGCAGCACTCCGTTGCGAGTCAGGCTATTTGTCAGTCGATGTAGCAGCACTCCGTTGCGAGTCAGGCTATTTGTCAGTCGATGTAGCAGCACTCCGTTGCGAGTCAGGCTATAAGATAGTCGATGTAGCAACATTTACGCATGTTTTAAAAATGTTTTTTATTAAATCAATAACAAAAACACCACTAATTAAAAAAAACTTTCTAGTCGTTATAATTGCAATTTTTTAAAAAATTTTTAAAAAACAATTAAATTTAATGTACTTCCGCATAAATTAATTGCTTTGACATTTCGATGACAATCAAAAACAGCTTGAGACGAGGTAATTAAAATTGTAGTAAAAGACTTTTTTTACATTAAAACGCTCTTTCGACTACACTATATGAGTATATATATATATATATATATATATATATATATATATATATATATATATATATATATATATATATATATATATATATATATATATATATATATATATACATATATATATATATATATATATATATATATATATATATATATATATATATATATATATATATATATATATATATATATATATATATATATATATATATATATATATATGCAACCAATAAAGCTAACCGTGTATTAGGCATGTTGTATCGTACTTTCAGTCACATGACTCCGCAACTACTTAAAATTCTATATACAACCTTTGTGCGACCTTATCTAGAGTTTGAGGTAGCAGCCAGCAATCCATCACCAAGAATAGATATTGACAAAATCGAGATAGTACAAAGATGAGCTACCCGTTTAATACCTTCGTACCGTCATATGTCATACAAATATCGTCTGAATATACTAAACTTAAGGTCTTTAAAAAGCCGTCGCATTAGGGGAGATCTGATACAGGCCTATAAAATTATTAACAATATAGACATTGTCTCATGAAGTGAACCCCATGTCCTTTGTGTTGGGGAGTCAAATAAAACAAAAACTATAGGACATCATCTTAAAATTACTAGAGAATATGTTCAAAATTGCGAGCAAAGGCACCAGTTTTTTACTAATCGAATAGTGAATCATTGGAATGCATTGCCGTCTGAAGTTGTATGCGCTTCATCAGTTAACAGTTTTAAGGATCAGCTTGATGCAGAAATTTCAAATAATCCGCTTAAGTATCGAGATTATAACTAAAAAAACAAAAAAACAAAAAAAAAAGTACAAACTTATACTTCAAAAAGTTCAAACTTATACTTTCCCGTTACTCCGGGAAATTAAAGCTCTTGATGTCTATGAGTTAAACGTGTTCCAAAACTTGTTATTTATGTTTAAATATCAAAACAACATGCTTCCAAAATCTTTTAATAACCAATTTGTAAAAATTAATTATAAATACCTAACAAGAGGCTCTACCTATAATTTTAAATTACGTAAGTAGACTCTTATAACATCTGACTACTCAATTTCATATAGAGGCCCTCGCCTGTGGAACATAGTTCTTAATGAAAAAATTAAAAGTATAACTTCAATAAATTGTTTTAAAAATATAGTTAAACAGTATTTACTTGAATTAACAAACGCAAACTTAGTTTTGCATTTTTAAGTAAAAAATAAATAAATCTTGTAATATTTCTTAATAAATCTGATTATTTATCTTTTGCAATTTATGGTATTCTTGTTGTAATAATGTGTTAACTTGTTTTTTTATATAACGAGTATTTGTAAATTTATATAATGAGAAATTTGTTAAAAGTACTTTACGCTTACTATAGGGGCTTGATGACAAAACTTCTGTCTTCTACTTGCTCCTGTCGTTATTAATTTTTTTTATTTAAATTTTATTGATGAAAATTGTAAAACAAGAACGTTGTAAAATGTTTTTATAAAAGACGAATTTAGTTTTTATATATATATATATATATATATATATACATATATATATATATATATATATATATATATATATATATATATATATATATATATATATATATATATATATATATATATATATATATATATATATATATATATATATATATATATATATAGTATTAAAACTAGCAAGGATCCATTAAATCTACAAAAATAAAATATTGTCTGTGGTATTAAAATACTTTGTGGGCATCATTATTGTGTATAATTGTAACATATAAATAATACACCTGTATGGAGTATAACAAATCATTAATTAAATAGGCAAGGTTTGCACAGTTAGGTGACTTGCAAATAGAAAAGTAATAACATTAATACCATAATTATAAAAAAATTATAATGTAACTGATTAGTATGACTATCATACTATGAGAAATGCAATAACACAAAAGCAATAATATGATAACTAACCATAAAAACCCATTTTTTTATTTTATTTCATTGATAGATATGCTATATAATGTTAAACAATTGTAATATTAATGTTCGTAAACAAAGTTATGCTTACAGTTAATGTGTTGCATGTGTTTATTTTCTCTAAACTGTTTACTTTATTGATCATTATTCAATAATGATCAATAAAGTAAACTTCAAATAATGAAAGCTTACTAAATTAAAACCATATTTCAACTCAAATAACCACACAAGGTAGAATCTCAAGGTAGAGCTGAAAAAAAGGAGAAAAAGTATATAATAGACAATGAATATAATGCTCCTAATTAAAATACCAAAGATACAGTACATAACAGTACCAGTTTCGATTAACAATTGACAGGTAAAACTAAAGATAAATATAGAAAAAAAGAATACAATAAAAATTAGACATGTTTAAATTTATAAAGATAATAAAACTTCATGAAAAAAATAAAATAACAACTAAAATAAAATAAATAATCCTTTTAAATAAATAAAACTGTAAAAAATAAAATAACTATATTTTTTAATTTAAAAATTATACAAACTTTCTATTTAAAGAAGATCTTAAAGATACTGAATAAAGATTAGTATATACAGTGTATATATAAACCTTTATTCAATATCTAATTTACAATGTAAAAAACACATAAATTCTTCCCTAACATCATAGGAATTGTCTATTAATCTAATTATTAAAGACAATTATTCCTGATTGGAGCAGTCAGAAGCTTCATCAGCAATAACTGAAATAAAAACTCGATTTTCTTTTATTTCAGAAACCAAAATATTCTGGATGTCCTTTCCCCAACAACTTATTAATTGATTCTGTGAGGAATTAGAAATATAAGATGCATTCTTTGCACAGCTGTTAAGATAAAGTTCAAGAATTTTATCCCCACCTCTGATTCTGTAGTTTAAAAGTTCAATAAAATTACCTACTCCACCCACTAAAGAATATTTGCCAATGACCATCACAATGACCTATGAAAGCTATATTAAGTTGACCTAAGAAAATGATTTTCGCACAAAACAACTTTTTACAATTTAAAGCTATCTCCTTTTCACATTCTTTATTAAAATATCTATATTTTAAATATTTCTATTCATAGTATTTAAAACTGCGGAAAATATGGTCCAGGCATTATAATGTAGAATTTGTACTGCGTGATGATGTTCATAAATATTTTAGCTGAGTGATATTCATAATTATTCCCATTTTTCCCATGGTAATGTCTATTAAAAGTGCTTACAGCATCTGGCCTATATTTGAATGACTGAGAATACAAATTTTAAATCTAGAAGTTTTTGAAAGGTATTTATATCTAAACAAAAGGCAACACAAACAAAATGCTCCATCTTCAGGAGGTAAATATCTAAGCCATGAAAATTGTTTTAATGATAAAAGTTTTTAAAGATTGCCCATTTGTTTTTAAAAAAGAAGTTTCATCAGGAACAAAAACATTTTGAATCAAATTTTATATTTGTAAATCTTTCAAAGTAGAAGCCTTCGAACGAAACAACAAACTAACAATATCTAATGATGAACATAGAATAAGGTTCAATATTAAGATTAAACATAATTTTATATTTTAGGAAAAAACTGTTCTATAGTAACACTTAAGTCTTGCAGAACACACAGTTGAAAGAGCAAGAACACAAAGAAACACAGACCATAAAAATTCTTTACACATATGAAATGTTTCTTCCTTAACAAGGTCATTTTTTAATTTTCCTGAGTCTATAAAATGTGTGGATACAGACACTGCTAACGAATTATCAATTGATAAAAACTCATTTGGATACATTGAGCACAAGCTTAAAAACAATGGATGATTACTGTAAAAAGAGGCATTTAAATATAAATCAATAGCTGTCAGTTTTTTTTAAATCCATTGCCAGACTATTATCACCATACAGATAAATCCAAAATGAGCTAAATAAGCAATTGTCAGTTGATTCAGCTGAATCAGATCTGATCAGATCTGTAACAGAGCTGTAACTGATCAGAGCTGTAACTGATCACTGCAACTGATCACTGTAACTGATCACTGTAACTGATCACTGTAACTGATCAGAGCTGAAACAGATCTGATCAGATCTGTAAAAAGGGCAATTAAAAATTTTTAAAGTAAAAAAAATTCTACAATAAGCTCAATGGAAAATAAACTTGGATTTAATCATTTATTTACAATAAATCAGTTTGGTAAAAAGTTGAACCAATTAGATCAAGGCAAAAAATGTATTTCATAATATTATTACTATATAAATTTACATCCCCAAATGAACGAACGCAGGGATAATATGTTTACAAATTTTAAATGTAATTTTTTATTTTACTTGTTAGGATAAATAAAGTAAATCTTACTTCACCGCCTAGTTGTTCTTGACTCCTGAGGAATGTCGTGCTCTACTCTTTATTGACTTATGAACAGTCAACAACTGATAAAAATCTGACTTATGAAGGAGATTAATCTTTACTGACAATTCTGAATAAAGAGTTTGTAAACTTTCAATAAATCCATTTTCATGCAAATACCTTACAGATTGTAAATGCATGCCAAATCAAAAATTATTTAAAATTTATTTAAAACATTCAAAGAATTATTGTTAGAAAAGGCTTCTTTTAAATTAGTCAGGGGGCAATCATCATATATTTAAATTCGACTAACTTGGCCTGAAGTTACGCTACCGAACGACAAAAATAAGTGCTTTAAAAAGTTTTCAGCCGAATAAAAGGGCCAGATAAGTCCCAAGATAATTTTGACTAACTTGGCCTTAAGTTACGTTACCGAACAGTAAAAATAAAAAAAATTTAAAGTTCTTTAATAATTTTTTGAAATCTAGTCAGCCTAATAAACGGGCCAGATAAGTCGCAAGATTTCTTGACTAACTTGGTCCGAAGTTACGCTACCGAAAAAAAAAATTACAAAACGGGGCTATTGCGTGCGCATATACTTATCATAGTTTAATTGGTATTGCTGTTTAGACCAAAAAAATAGAGATTTTATTTAATTTCAAAAATCTCAAAAATATATAACCTATTTCATTAGCCTGATCGTTGTTTAGTTTAGTAAAAAAGATGTTAGTCAATGCGCCTAACAAGACTAACCCTAAACCCGCCCCTGTATATATATATATATATATATATATATATATATATATATATATATATATATATATATATATATATATATATATATATATATATATATATATATATATATATATATATATATATATATATATATATATATATATATATATATATATATAGTATATATATATATATATATATATATATATATATATATATATATATATATATATATATATATATATATATATATATATATATATATATATATATATATATATATATATATATATATATATATATATATATATATATAGGTATTGTGGTTTATCCTCCTCCAGCTAATTGCCATATAGAGGCCACATTACCAAGGCCCACAAAGACAGGTTTGGCTCCCCAAGAAGCGTCATAACCCGCTCTACGGACCAAGAGTAAAGTGAGTTTAGGAAGAACGAAGATATGTTAGAGTGAAAGACAGAAGTAGTCGTGTTAGAAAGATAGCATAAAGAAAGAGGACAGGATTGCACTCAATGTTAGGAGGTACAATAGGTTGAAATAGGTTCTTTTCAAAAATTTATTTATTAACCTGAATTCAACTCATCTTACAAAAGTTTTTGCGTAATTGTTATGTACGTCTATTTATATAATAAATCTACCCACAAAATCAACATTACAAAAACCGCTTAATACATAACTACAATTAAAATAATTAAAAACTGTTAGTAAAAGAAACCACGTAATTGCCGTAGAATGTTCTAGAACTTTCTCCACTTTATTTACACTCCTCCTTGGTCCTTACTGATCATACAAATAACAATCGTTGCATTTTTGGGGCATGCGTCGTTCTCGAGTACTTCATGGCAAAGGCACTGTTTCTTGGAATACATTTTTGGCTTCACCATTTCCTTGTAACACGTCTCCTTTGCTTGTCTCCAACACATTTTTAATTTGCTCACCATTGTTTGCCGCGTTATCTCGACCACTGTCTGCGTTCACTTTAGGAATATCGCATGTTTAAATGTTATTTCGATATCGGATATGTTTTACGTGACGCGGAACGCCATTAACTTCGATAACTTGTTTTGAAATATTTCCCGTTAGTTTTGCTGGCTGCCACTTAGTATGGCACTTCGCATTAGACGGTTTCAACTAAACATTATCACAATTTTTAAACACTTCATTTGTGTCAGCTTTTATCGGAAGATTATCTTTTCTCAATCCTTTCACATCACTTCGATATCAGTATATTTTCTCCATCGGGCTTGCATTTTTTTTGTTAGCTGAGACGTTGTACCAATACACTGCTTCCGGTATTGACATTTTTGATCTTTATGCAATTCTCTTAATTGTACGACGATTTCTTTCCACAATTTCATTTCTATCGGGATAATAAACAGCTCGAAACCTAATGCGCACTCCCCAACCATCAAGAAAACTTCTCAACTCCTCAGTTTTAAAAGTTGCTTCGTTATCTGTCAAAATTTCAGATGGTGCTCCTCGCTTGCAAAAGATAAGGCGGAGTATTCGAGTAATGGCAATACTTCCGTATGAACTTGAAAGTTGTCGCCACAGTGCGTATCTTGAAGGTCCGCAATAAACCAGAGTTAAAAATTTTTCTGCGCAAAAATTCATGATATCCATAGCCACTCTTTCCCAATTTTCTTTAACGCTCAATTTTTCCTTCTCCCATTGCACAGGTGCTGGATCTATTGACTGACATGGTTCGCAATTTTTAGTTACCTTTCTAACGTCATTTTTGGTAGCGGTTGGAATTACTTGACGAACAAAGTTTAGAGTGTGCTTCACTCCAAAGTGTCCAGTTCTCTTGTGTATGCTAGAAATAGATTCAGCCTCTGCAAATACTTATGCCCCAACGGAATTACTCGAATGCTTAGCCTCCGTCAATTTATTCAACCATCTACTTTGAACTCTAGTCAATGCGTTAGCTAAGTTGTCTTTTGAAGGAACAAGTTTTACATTCACATTTATACCATATTCTTTAAAACGTTTTTGCAGAACGCTTAACCTTTTTCGAATCAACATTTTGCCCATTGCTTTTGATTTCAATCTTGACTTACCAGTGAGAGCGTCAGAGACCCTTTGGAACACTGTCACGGAATCTGTGAAGATAGTTACTTTCTTTAATTTCCACGTCAAAGCCATACTCATTCCTCGCATTACAGCATCCAGCTCCGCCATGTTTATGTGATCTTCAGACATTTCTTTTCGTAGCCATGTTGTATCTTCTAAAGTAGTTTTACCAACTTGAATAACCGCACCACTTGCCAAAGAACTTGCATCAACCCACACATTCCCCTCGTCACTATGTACAGCCCAATCACTATAAGCTGGATCGCACTTTGCAACCTCATCATAAACCTCTTGAAGTGCACCCTTTAAATTTTCATCGCAAACTTCATTGTCCCAATCCTTCGTCAAACTTACTACTCTTCTTTTCAAAAGACTACAAACTGCACGTAACCAACCAGATACTGGTAAATGACCTACCAACTGCCCACAAACGGAAAACACTGCTCTTCTACTTAACTTTTTCGGCATTGCGTTAACTTGATTCCCCCTTGACCATTCAACTTGCCACCAACCTTGTACACACGTAATCCCAAAATATGAACCCCATTACATCCAATCTGTTCACTTTCTTTACGCTCTAAACAATATTTTTCAAAATGTCTTTTGACGTAATCAAGACTAACTACTTCCTCATTGACAAAAACATCGTCCACGTAAGCGGATGCTCCTCTCTTCACCAATTCATCTTGATCAATAATGGTACTCACAACAGATTTCATGATGATTGGAGCAACGTTTAATCCAAAACCAAGCCGTGTCAAACAATACCTTTTGTTTTGAAAAACCACTGTTTGGAATGGCCAAAGAGATTCTTCAGTTTTTAATTGGAGATAAACCTTGCGTAAATCAATAATTGCTGGTTTCTTTCCCATTCTTCTCCATTTCCTCAGCACACACATCTGCATCTCTTGTATACGTTTCAATAAAACTGTTAGCTTCTCTCCAGTCCAAAACGGGTCTGGCTTTATTATCTTTATTTTGTTGGATAACAGCCATTAAGGGAATTTGCCCTTTAGGTGGTCCCATCTTATTTTCGTGATATTCAGTTAACCATTTACAATTGATTCAATCCCGTTTTCATTTCGTTTCAGTTTGTTTTCATATTCTGCTCTTGCATATTTTGTTATGATGTATTGGGCAACTTTGTTAACCAAATGGTTGGGGCCTTCTCAATCTCTCCATTTCCATTTAACTTCCCATTCAACACCATTACATATTGCTTCATGATCTTGCTTTTTAATTTCAATTTTATTGACTTTATCTTTCTTTAAGACTGTTATTCCACACAAGCCGAACCCAAACGTTGCTATTCCAGACGGGGAAATAAAAACTCCTCCTAGCAATTTAATGGAACTCATTCCCAGCATCATATTATCTCCAAACGGTTAAAAATCCATTAAAATAACTTCGTTTTGTATTTGAATACCATCAACCTCAATAGTGACAGCCGCTAATCCATTACATTGATGAAATTTACCGCCAAAAGTTACTACCTTTGGGGGATTCTGGGATTTATGTTGCTTTCTTGACAACAGTTTTTGATGTATAATTGTCTTTGAACAACCTATGTCTACGATAGCTGTTGCTAACAAACCATTTAATTTTAAACGGATGAATAATAGATAGTGCGCTAATTCGACCATTGTTCAGGAAGGAGGTAGCGCACATTCCTCGCTCCCGCACTTGTTTCCCTGCCTCATTTAGCATTTTGCAGCCATGTGTCCTTCATTCTCATATTTAAAACATCGAAAAAAATTCTTCGGAGCCAGATTCTTTGCAAAGGAACGGTTTCTCGTGATATGATTTAACCTTTTGTAGTTGTAACACACTAAAGAAACTTTTGTGGCTTGATTTCGAAAAACAGCGCCAACAGCATCATCTACGCATACACGATTCAAAGCAGCTCTTACTTTGGGTAATATGACATCGATTGGATCCATAACAGCTCAAAATCTGTATGATAAATCTTTGGGCAATCCAACAAAAACGCTAATGGAATAGACTCTTCTGACAATTTAGCAAGATAAGCCAATCGTTTTAAGTCGGCCAAAAACACATCAACTTTCTCTCCAACATTTAATTTTCGTTTAACAAAACGTTCGTATGCCGTATAAGCATCTAAAGAGAATGCTGCTAACAAGACACGCTCAATTTCTTTTTCGTCTTGCTTATTTTCAGCGTTTAAACCATTGTATACCAAATAAGCAGTACCTCTTAGAAGAATTGGAAAGAGTGAATTCAGCTTTACATTTTTCATTTCTGCAATCACTTTAGTTCGCTGTATCCAAACGGCAACGTCCAATGTTCCATCAAACGTTTCAAACATATCCAATAATTTGATATTTGAATCCATGCCCGGCTAGTTTTCTCGCTCGAAACAAAAATTCTTTTCTTTCCAAAAATTGGTATTGTGGTTTATCCTCCTCCGACTAATTGCCATATCGTCACATTAGAATTATATGGTTTTATCTGCCTTTTTTATGTTGTGAGAACTTAACTTTCAATATTTATTTAATACATATTTTACAGCTGTTATTCATTATAATTATAAATTATAAGTTGTTTATGCTATATATTTCATTATTTAACATATTTTATATTAAACCACTTAAAAAATGATATATAATATATCATTTTTTAAGTGGTTTGTTTTTATTATTAATTATTAATTAAAACTTTGATTGTTAAATTCTTTCAACATAAAACAAGGCAGATAGAACCAGAGGCCACATTACCAAGGCCCGCAAAGACAGGTTCGGCTCCCCAAGGAGCGTCATAACCCGCTCTACCGACCAAGAGTAAAGTGAGTTTAGGAAGAACGAAGATATGTTAGAGTGAAAGACAGAAGTAGTCGTGTTAGAAAGATAGCATAAAGAAAGCGGACAGGATTGCACTAGATGTTAGGAGGTGCAATAGGTTGAAATAGGTTCTTTCCAAAAATTTATTTATTAACTTGAATGCAACTCATCTTACAAAAGTTTTACGTTCATTTATATAATATATCGACCCACAAAATCAACATTACAAAAACCGTTTAATATATAACTACAATTAAAAAATAATTAAAAACTATTATTAAAAGAAACCACGTAGTTGCCGTAGAATGTTTTAGAACTTTCTCCACTTTATTTACACTTACAACTTCGTTGAAATCGGTCCTAATCTTGCAAATAAAATTCTTTTTACCAATGCTTCATTTAGAGGTTTTTTAGTACAGATGGATAATTGCATTCCAACCAATTATCTTTTGAATTATCTAAAAAAGAAATCAACTAGAGCAGATGACATAAACAGCAAAATAGTCATAGCATATTTTAAGAAAAGTGAAAATTGCCAAATAAAAATGAAAAAATGCTAAACTAAATTAAAAATTGGCTAACTTAAATGCAAAAAGGTGAGGTAGTTATCACCCTATCTCTGTCCTTTCCACATTCTCAAAAATACTAGTATATATTAAAAATTTTATTATTGATTATATTCAAATAAAATGACATTATGTCACGTAGTTCTTAGGTGTTTTTCTTGATGAAAACATCACATAAAAAACGCATGTTTACTATATTCGTACAAAAATTTTTAAAAATATCGAAATTTCATATATTGCTCGAACATAAAAATGCAAAAAAAAAAATCTTAACTCTAAAAAGTTAAAATGCTTTTATCGCCGTCAAAAACATGCAATCCATTTAATAAATTTTGCAGATCGATACACTCATTCTAATTCATTTTTTGTTAAAATGAAAGTTCTTAATATATATATGAGCTTGATGTTTTTAATGTTTTATAATTTATGTAAAAAAATGATTTATCTTTACCCATTTTTAAAGATCTCTTTTGTTTAAAACCTATAAATATTTTTTAATATTTGCCGAACCACGTTTAATCAGTTTTTTATTACATATTGTGCACTATAACTTTAGAGTAAAACTGTTTTCTCCATAATCGATATGTCTCATACCTTTCCAATTTTCAAATTTAAACTGAAAAACTTAACTCTCTCGATGGATGATGCAATCAGGTACTTTTAATTGTAACTATGTGTTTTGTTTAGAACTTTTATATTTTTGTTAATTTTTATTTTGTTAAATATGTATTGATGTGGTTTATAAACACACATTTGTAAAAGATTCCGATGATAAGATCAGTACGAAGTAAGGACCAGCGGATAAAAATAAGGACCAGCAAATATTCGTTAAAATTCAGATTACGAAGTTTACTTTTTTATATTTTTTTTATGTATATTTTCGTCGTTAAAAAATAATATTTTACAATGTTTTTACAACATAAAAATATAACATTAAAGTTTCGACCGGAGCTGGCAGAAGACATGGTCTTATCATCCAGCACCGTTAATATAACTAAAAAATTCAGCCGATAAAAATGAAAAAGGAAAAACGAAACTAAAGCAAGAACTGATTTAAAAATCAATTTTCTATTTACAGAAAAAAACATATTATTATTATTATTATTATTATTATTATTATTATTATTATTATTATTATTATTATTTTGATTCTCTATTTTATTCTACTTTTATTTTTATTACACACGCACGCACGCACACACACACACACACATACGCACACGCACACACAAATGTATGTCCGTTCGTATATACATACAAAATCAAATAAATCTGTTTTATATTCCATCTATAAATTGCGCAAGATATAATAAATATTGTATTTACAAATTGCGTTATTATTGTAAAATAAAATAATCTCATACAAGTTCTAAGTACCATACAATGTAATTAAGATGTTGCGTCAATTTATTAAGACATTAAATAACTAAAATTATCAAAAGTTTTTATTTATAGGATAGTAATTATTTTGTATCAAAACCAAATAAGTGTTGTTTTGTCGCACGTTTAAAATGTTGAAATGAATTTAAAGTTTTTTTATTACATGTTAAAAGCAATTTCCATAACTTAAAGGCGAAGTTGACACCGGCTTCGAATTTGGTGCCGAGTTTGAAGTAAAAATTTGGCTTTTGGTTAAATTCGGTAACAATTGCAAAATTTCATTTAATTTTTCAGTTAAATTCAAATACAAAAAATTTGTTTCAATTTAAAAAAAGAAAATATTTATAAATATACTATGTTTCATGTATATCAACATGTTTCTTGCAAACCTTGTTTGTCAAGGTACGTGTTTCAGAGTTGAGAGAGTGGGAACAATCAGGTGAATATTTTTTATATTTTATAAAAATAGCCAGTGAATATTTATTAGAATAAATAATTTTATTTAAATAGCAAGTGAGTATTTTATATTTTTTATAAAAATTTGAGCAGCCTTGGCGCAGCGGTAGCGCACTTGCCTCCAAAAAAAAAGGATCCGTTGTTTAAAACCCAGAGGTGGGGACCTCTGGGAAAGTTTAGCATCATCGGTTAAGAAAGAGGTGTGAACTTCAAAATAAATGCTCATCCGCGGTGCTCTGTGATTAGATCGTAAGGATTTCTTGGGGTACCTAAATAAAATTAAATATATTTAACATAGTATTCTTCACGATCTTTTTCCTTTATAAAATTGATATCCGAAATTTTTCAATGAAAATTGTTGATGTTTTTTTGAAAACTTTTTTAAAAAACATTTTGAATTGCGAAGATTGCTCGACTTAAATTCTCATTAATCATATTTTAGATTTTGGATTTTTTTTATTCGATAGTAAGTGTTTTTGATTTTTGTTAACGTATATTTTTTGTTTTAATTAATAAAAATTATTTTACTTCATTTGTGTTTTGTCATCTTTTGAAATATAGTTAATTACGAGCTAAAAAAATAACTAATTTGGTTTGTAAAAAATGATTATACCAAAATGTACTTTCATTATTTTTATGAAATATTTAAAAAATAAGTGTAGTTGCATTCTGTAAATATTATTCAATCCATGTTAATTTGGTTAATTCATAATAAGTTAGTTAAAATTCGATATAAAGGCCCAAATTTTTTTTTTCATTAAAATGTGTTCAGGGTACACATATGGCAAAAAAATTCGCCTTTCAGTTAAATTTGGTGTGCGCATATGGTCTAAATTCGACTTCCAGTTAAATTTGGGTTTTGAAAAGTCGACTTCGTCGGTCCTTATTACGATCTTTCAGAAACCTTTTTTGTGTTTGTGAAAGTACTTTTCTAAGACAACAAGTTTGCTTAGCCGTCAAACCGCGCTTGCTAGGGGCTCATGCCTTAATTGGGCCCCTGTATTGGTGCGCTCTATCCGTATGGCTATTTCAAATGTGAAATGGAAAAATCAAAAACAAAACAGTTGTTTCCATAGTTGTTAACAAGGCCAAAAGTAGCATAGCCAAGGCCACAAGTTAGAAAGTCAAGGCCAAGGCCAAGCCCAAAAGTTACAAGGCTAAAGACAAAGCCAAGGTCAAGAGTTTTGAGGTCAAGGCCAAGATTAGGAATTTCAAGGTCAACACGTACGCAAAGATTTTTAAGACTTACGACTTCAATTTTTAAGGCCAAATACGTTAAGGCCAAATCTTCACAAAATTGTAAGTAGCAAGTGCTGTGAAAATGAAACCACATTTTGTAAAAACAGATCAAGGTTATGTTCAGAAACCAACAAAATCAATAAAAAATATGTATTTTTTTTCAAGGCCAAAACAATCAAGGCCAAGGCCAAAATTTTCAAGCCAAGGCCAAGGCCAACAGTTTCAAAGCCAAGGCCTAAGTTTTTGGCCTTTAGACCAGGCCAAGGACTAACTACTCTGGTTGTTTCTCATTTTTTTATACCTAACAAAATCACTTTAAAACAAAAATATTTATCCGTAATCCTTCTTAAAAAGGTGTTTTTACATAAAAATTTTACCACTATCTTTTTGTATCGCCTAATAAAACTCTGATCGACGTATAAAAATGACGTAAAGATGGTAGAATGGATATCTTAGAGTTTTATTTATTTATATGTGTATGCATTATCACAAGAAATATAGAATATTGTTGTTATCAACATATTAATAATAAATGCGCGTTTAAAAAGTAAATTAATTATACTTATATAGGTCATATAAGTTCAAAATTTGAACTTGAAATCATATATAGTTATATAGGTCATAATTAGAAAGTTATCTGTCGTGGGTTTTATTACTAATTACAATAATGGCGCTGAATAGCTTTATGTATAAAAAAAGAATTGATGATAAACCGAATACTGGAGACTCTAATAGAACTATTGTTGATCTATTTTTATAAATAATTTTGGTGCTTATTGTTTATTAGAGACAACTTTATTATTATTTATAAAGCTAAAGTAAAGTAGTATTAATTTTATTTTGTTATTATTGAATATTCTGTTACAACTGTTTTATTTTTTACTTGTTTATTAAGTCTCATATTACTCCATATTTTAAAAAAGGAATTTAAGACTTTTTTATTCTAGTTTGTAATCATTGTTAGTTTTACTATATTCTTATATTATGCTTTAGTAATGCTAATATAATAATTGTTTTTTTTTATAAAATATTAGACACAGTAATATCATAAAATATCTTAATTGAATCATTTGTCTGTTTAACTTTACTTTATTAGGCATCTCTAAGTAGTTTTAAATATGAAAATGTAATTTTTTTTTTTTCACAAAAAAAAAAAAAAAAAAAACGTTCTAGTGTTTTATTCATGTTTTTATTTATTTAATCATGTTTTACAAAAAATTATTTCAAATGATCTAATTTATTCAAAAATAGAATGGGTAAGTTTACTTAAAACTTCAAAAAAAAAAAAAAAATAAAATAAAGCTTAAAAATATCCTGTAAACTCTAAATTATAAAAAGTTAGTAAACTCTAAATTATAAAAAATTTGAAATAAACTAAATTAAAATTTCTTCAAATACATGCAATATATTGCAAGTGGGCATTTATGATGTTCAATAACTTGAATGACATGAAATGATAATTAAATTGAACAACTTGAATGACATGAAATGATAATTGAATTCAACAACTTGAATGACACAGAAAATGACAGTCTTTTTAAGGTAATGACTGTCTTTGAGGGTTTCAGTTATAAGAATCTAAATTTTCTTTGATAAATAGTAATCTTTTAGAACATTTCTAAATTTTAGATGAACTACTTCATTGAATATTTTAATAAATGGAATTGCCAAGAAGCAAGCATGTTTTTCAGCCAATTTTTGAAGCATATCTATGTTTTTTAAAAGCAGCATATAAATGTGATTGTAGACCACACACATGTTAGCAAGTTTTATGTCTTATGACAAAACAGGTCAATGGCTATCTTTCCAGCTCAACTTGTTCAGGACCTGCATGACATTTTCTTTTAAATTTTTAAGATTGCAGCTATCATAGGAATAAACTTCTTAGAATAGAGTCACTCTGTCTCTATACAGAGAATTTCAAGAGTCTTTCAAGAAACCATTACCTTTACTTATTCAAACTTTAAAATGCGGTGTGATCCTGGTCTCCTGATCTTAGTCATAGTTCTTCTCAATACATCAAACTTTTTGGTCTTGCTTATGGTTTTATTATAAGTGTGACAAACAAATCAGACAATTGTTGCCAATGACAAAATAATCCTCAAAAACATTCTAAGCAATCAAACTTGACCATGTTTTTTTATACAAATTGTGATGGTTTCCTTTAATTTAGGTGTTTTGTATGGTTGTTTACACCACTGTTTGATATTCCAATCTAGTTTTGATCAGTTAAGCCAGCTACAGCTACAACTTACTAGGTTTAAATATTGAGCTTTTTACACTTCTTAAAACTTTTCTTTATTAAAGTTTGTAAATTTTTATAAAAATTTGTTAATCCTCCTACTCGAAAAGTTTTTATCTTTCATAAAAATAATAGATTATACTGTAAATATATAGAACTAAAATAGTTATATGTTTAAAATTTAAATTTTGGATAAATATTATGTATCCAATATTTCTAATAAAATATATAAATAGTTTAATAAGCAAGATTTTTTTTTTTATTGTTACATTAATAAAAAAGTAGCATAAAAATATCTTAGAAATATAAGATTTTTAGAGGTTTATGTTACTCAAAAAGGAATATTTAAAATAACAGGTGACATTGAACATCATTCATGATTTGGAAGGTTTAAAAAAAAACGCACAATATCAGTTTAAAATTTTCTAAAATAAGTACGAATCCAAGGTTAAGTTATCACGAATTTACTGTTCACAATAACTTAACCTTCGATTGGTACAAAAACTTTTATGGTTTTTGTTGAATATATTTGACAAAAACCGTGAAAAACATCTTTTTTCAAATATAAACAGAAACATTTTACTTTGAAAAGCATAGTAGTTTATGTTGTTACAAAACCTATACTGGCGACTAGAAATTGGCTCACATATTTGAGGTGGCGTAAATAGAGAATTGGGTGGGTTTTGGAAAGCAAAAGTAATTTTCAGTGATAAAACAAATTTAAAATAATTAATAAAAAAAGCAAATTTCGGTAGTCATTGATTCATCATAAAGAGGTTGAAAGGTGGAGGTTCAGTATTAGTGTTTGTGGCTGCTTTAATTTTAACAGAGTAGGTGTGCAAATCATTTATATAGCCTGCATATATATATATATATATATGTATATATATATATATATATATATATATATATATATATATATATATATATATATATATATATATATATATATATATATATATATATATATATATATATATGTATATATATATTGAATGTAGACATCATGTATAAGAGTATGTAAATTATTATTTTATAGACATCAATAAATACGAATTTCTCTCTATTCTAAGTTTATTTTTAAAAGAAATTTGCGCTGGATTGTTGTGACCAGTATCTTCAGCTTAAAAGTTTTTTGTTTGTTTTTGTTTATATCTTATTTTTAAAATAGCAGTTCTATTTTATGTCAATGGGATAGTTCCATCTTTTCCTGAGGTAAATGCACCAGAAATAATGTCCAAAATTTTGTTGACACATATTGTCCCTCATCTAAATTGATACCATTTTGTTGAGGGGCACATTGGTGATACTGCATTTCAAGTGGCTCACAAACTTTCCTATCAAACTTAATATATATATATATATATATATATATATATATATATATATATATATATATATATATATATATATATATATAATAACTACTTTTTTTTTACATTTAAAAATACAAAAATTAGAAAAGCTGCAATACAAACTTGTAGCTGTCATATTATATATATATATATATATATATATATATATATATATATATATATATATATATATATATATATATATATATATATATATATATATATATATATATATATATATATGGCTCTTTTACCTTGGCCAAAATACATTTATTACCATGGCTCTTTTACCTTGGCCAAAATACATTCACACTTACTTTCTATTGCACATCTTTGAAATTTTTTTTGAAGAGGACAAGCAAGAATAGTTGCTTTTTTTGATGTTCTTGGCAAAAATGATTGTTTGTAAGCTAAGTGCTGCAGTATCTTCATCCCTGTTGGAAGCTGACAGCCTTAATTACAAAAAAGAAGAAATAAAAAGTTTAGCTAAAGTTTTTAGCTTAAGGGATTCATTATAAAACTAAATATTACCTTTTATTGCTGGTTTTGCTTCTTCGATAATGAATAGGTTTTTTTTTAGACTTTAGTGTTCTTTCACTTTCTGTTTTCTGACCACGCTCTTTTTTTTTATACATATTTAAATTAATTAATTTAATTTTTATTAATCTAAAAAATCAAGTTTAAGACGATTGCTGTAAAACAATTTACTAATGCAACAAATAGAACCGTTGAATTGTTCTTTGAGCTACTATAGCTGGGTCCTGTCAAATTCCCACCTCATAGAAATTACTAAAGTTTATTGTATATTTACATTATTAATTAAAAAAATTAAAAGTATATATATCTTGACAATTAGTTATAATCTATATCTTGACAATTAGTTATAATCTTTTGTTAGTAGCATACATGCGGTTAGTATATAATTGTATATTGTAATTTTTTTAATTCAAAATATAAAAATAAAAATATTTTCTGAACAATACTATGATACCATATATTTTTACTCAAATATATAGGTAAAAATGAGCAACCCAAAAAAAAAATTTCAAATTTTTGTAATTAAACTTCCCCCCTGGACCTGTGAATTCGGCAATTTTTGAAGGTTTTTGAGAATTTTTTTTCTAAAAAATTGCTAGGGGGTAAGGATAAAGTGGTCCTGTTGAGCTCAAATTTTTTGGGAGTTGTTTTTTTAATATTTGCCCCAATACTGAAATATGCACTTAAATATATACTTGTCATACTGAAATAGCCTGATGTTGGGGGCTTCAGTACATACATCAACTGACAAATAGCCTGACTCGCAGTGGAGTGCTGCTACATCGACTGAGGGTTTGGGATGGGGCAGCAATCGTTTCATTCATCATTCTTCGTTTGTTTTTTTTAAAAAAAAAGCTGTATGGGTTAAGGTAAGCAAAAAAAGTGAGCAAATGCTTATAAAAATACACTTTAGTAAGTGTGTATATATATATATATATATATATATATATATATATATATATATATATATATATATATATATAATATGACAACTACAAGTTTGTATTGCTGCTTTTCTAATTTTTGTATTTTTAAATGTAAAGAAAAAAGTAGTTATTTTTTTTATATTTTTCTTTAAACTGTATTTAAGATAAAACTTTAGAAAATATAGTTAAACGGAGTCCTAATATTTCTAAAAGATATAGAGGGGACCTTTCTTTTAAAATATATTTATGTTCTGTTTATTTTTAGCATTAATTTTCAGAAATGACAAATTGTTTGGCTTTGGATGAGAGTGCTCATTGTGAACATGCGTTTGGTTGGTATGTGTCCAACTATCACAAGTCTTCAGATAAACTTTTGTTTATTCATGTACAGCAAGTTCCATATGTTCCATTAGTAGGACTTGAAGATATGGAAGGTTTTATGAATGTTACGCAACTTTTGGTGCAAGAAAGTTCAGAAAAAACAAATAAGCTTATATTTAAGTACAAACAAAAATGTGAAGAAAAGGGTATTGAATGTGAGTTTGTTATTGATGATGGGAGCTCTCCAGGCGAATCCATATGCAGAATTGCTAAAGAAAAGAATGTGCAAACAATTATTATGGGTCAGAGGGGGTTGAGTGCCATGGGAAGATTGTTTCTTGGAAGCACAAGTGATTATGTACTTCATCATACACACATTCCAGTCATTGTTGTACCACCTGCAGTCCACGAAGATCAAAAAAATGATTAGACTAAGAATATGAACAATGAATAGCAAAATGAAAATGTAATATTTCTTTTTAATATTATCTTATTTATTGCGTTTGATTTCGGTGCGACATTTTTCAAGTTCAAAATAATTTATTGCGTTTGATTTCAGTGAGACATTCGACAAGTTTAAATAATTATAAAAAATAATTGAAAATATTTTACTTCCCTTTTTTTAAAAACACCAAATTAAAATTAAAAAACATTTTAATCAAGAAAACCTAAATTTACTAAGTGTTATTTATACACCAAATTTAGGTCACTTTTAGTGCGGCCTTAAATTTCTCAAAAGGATTACGGAAATATCTCGATTATTTAAACAAATAACTGAATTTACTTTTCTTTTTTTTTTCTAGTTATTCAGCTTTTGAGAAATTTAAGGCCGCACTAAAAGTGACCTAAATTTGGTGTATTAATTTTTTGTATTAATTTGCTTCAAATAACACTTAGTTACTTATGAAGACATTGATTTGCAAAAGCAACCCTTCAAATAACACTTAGTTAATTTAGGTTTTCTTGATTAAAATGTTTTTTAATTTTAATTTGGTGTTTTTAAAAAAAGGGAAGTAAATTATTTTCAATTATTTTTTATAATTATTTTAACTTGTCGAATGTCTCACTGAAATCAAACGCAATAAATTTCCGTAATCCGTATATCTGGTCTGCAAGATTTACGATTAGATAGTTTAACAGGAAAACAAAAAATCTTACTATGGACTACAAGCAATCTTTTAAGATTTATTTAAAATGAAATATACCTTTCAAGATTTTATGTTATATAATTTAATTGCAATATATTATAGTAGTGGCGTAGGAAGGTTTTTAAATATATGAAATTACCAACTTATAAACAACAAGAATATTCCAATTTTTTTTTAAGTTTATATGCATGACGAAATGAATCTTTTAAATAAAAAAAAACTGTGTTAGGAGAATGGGAACAAGAAATCGTAAAATCTAACCCCCTTGCCCCAAATGTGAGAGCAACAAGTTGATGAAATATTTTTTGTACTATTTTCAACTAGACTTATATTTATCGAGAAATTTTAAATTTTACAGTAAAATATTTTATTGTTCAAAAGTTATGACCATATAAACTTTGCAACCACCTCAAATTGAGGGGGGTTTAAACTTTATATGGTCATAATTTTTGAACAATAAAATATTTTACTATAAAATTTAAAATTTCTTGATGAATGTAAGTCTAGTTAAAAATAGTACAAAAAATATTTTATCAACTTGTTGCTCTCACGTTTGGGGCAGAGGAGCTAAGATTTTAGGGTTTTTCGTTCCCAATCTTCTATCACAGTAATTTTTTTTTTTAAAGAATCTTTTCGTCATGCATATGAACGTAAAAAAATTTGGAATATTCTTGTTGTTTATAAGTTGGTTGTTTCAAACATTTAAAAACCTTCCTACGCCACAGTATTATGGAATTATAACGTTAGCTATTACACTCGAGGAATATTCTACAGTTTTTACATTTCTATTGTAAATGCAGTAGAATATTATATATAGAACATTATAACTCGGAGTGAAAAAACATGTTTTTAGCAGATTTATAAACACTTTGTAAATAATCTATAATGATCTATAATTATGTTTGAATTAAAGACGTTTTTTAATTTTATTTATAACAATTTGAAGCAAACTGACTGAGCGAAATCCTGGAAACATTTAAAAAGATTTTATAAAAGTCTTAAATTAAGCAAAAAATAAAACTTAAAGAATTTTTTAACACAAGTTATTGGTTTTAACACTGTAATTGGTAGTTGACAAGTGTCTAAGGTAGAACGTGGGTATTTTGAATATTTATAATAGGTAAAGCTGTTTTGTGTTTAAATTGATGTATTATTATTAAAATTCAAATAGTTTTGTTATTTTGAACAGTTTTTATATAATATAGCGGTTTTGTTTTTATAACGGTTTTTATATACTTATGGTCAGGTCAGGTTTTCCTGCTACTGGTCACTATGGTCAGGTCAGGTTTTCCTGCTACTGGTAACATGTAACCCAGTACAACCTGCTTCATGTCCTGCTGCCTTGTAGGATACGCTTTTTTAGGCAAAGGCTAGGAGAAGTTAACTCCGAATTAAAACACCCCCTGCCTTGGGGATCTTGGTTGAGTAAAGGCTAGAGATGGTGTCTCGATAAAAATACTCATCTTGGGCAGATGTTACATGCATCCAGCTGCTGTCTTGTAGAAGGCCTCCTAGGCAAAGACTTAAGGGGTAAACAGATTCTATCTGTTGACCAGCCTCGCACCCCTTCCTCATCTATTAGGCTGGCGCAGATGTATTTTTAATACATTGTTTCCAGTTTAGGATGTTGAACGCTGGATCTTCTTGACTCAATGCGTGGGTATTGCTTGTGTCTCTATTTTTACGACTGGGCAACTCATTCTATTATCTCCTAATGAGGGTACAGCTCTAAAACTCAGTTTTATGGTTCTGAGGCCGGCTGGTAGTCAGGTTTCCCGAACTCTGTGGTAGCTCTCAGAGAGGCTGATTCCATCAACAGCCGAAAAATATCAGAGTACTAACAGTGCCATGTTGCGCATGGATGGTGTCCCTGTTTGTATTGGTGTGCATTGCAGAGGCCACATTTGGAGCCCTTTGTTACGGCTTAGGGTTTATTAATAGTAATAAGGCTATTGCTTAGTTGTTAAATAGTGTACTGAGTACTATCTATACTTGAGTCAAGTTCTTTATAAATTCAAAATGACTAAAGTACCTAAAACTAAAAAACACAAAAAACCATCGTCATCACCAAGTTCTCTAAACCTATCATTTACTAATATTCGTGGTCTTCGAAGTAACTTTTCTTCTGTTGAGTCTTATCTCTTGCAAAGTTCACCAGACCTACTTGCTCTTTGTGAGACTAATTTGAGTTCGGCTGTCCCATCTTGTGATCTTAGTGTTGATGGTTATCTTCCTTTAATTCGTAAAGACTCCAATAATCACATGCTTGGCTTGGGCATCTACATTCGTAAGAACTCACCCATTTGTCGTGAAACTAGGTTTGAATCTACAGACTATTCATTTATGTGCTTTCGTTTAGCACAACTTCACTCTATCGCCTTTCTCTTTGTTCTATATCGCTCTCCTTCATCCCAAGATTGCACTATTCTTGATGCTATTTCTGATCAAATTGACCAAGCCCTCTCTCTTTATCCATCGGCCAATATCGTCGTTGTTGGTGACTTTAATGCCCATCACACCGATTGGCTTGGCTCTAGTGTCAGTGACTCTGCTGGCGTTAAGGCCCTCAACTTTCGCCTTTCTCAATCTCTAACTCAAATAGTCAACTTTCCAACTCGTTTTCCAGACAACCCTAATCATTTACCTTCTCTACTCGACTTATGTCTTGTTTTGGATCCTAGTCAGTGCTCAATTTCTCCACATTCACCCTTAGGTACTTCTGATCACGGTTTGATCTCTCTAAAACTATTATCAAACTCTTCTACTTCATCAGAATCCCCCTATCATTGTACCACATACAACTACCTTAAAGCTGACTGGGACTCTTTCCGTGATTTTCTTCGTGATGGCCCTTGGGTAGAAATCTTTCGTCTTCCTGCTGACAAATGTGCTTCTTACATAACTTCGTGGATTCAGGCTGGCATGGAATCTTTTATTCCCTCTCGACGATTCCAGGTCAAGCCTCACTCTTCTCCTTGGTTTTCCTCACATTGCGCTGCAGCAATTTCTAATCGAAACCGTTACTTCCATATCTATCAGCAAAACAATTCTCCAGAAAACAGACATCTGTTCACTATCGCCAGAAACCATTGTGAAAAGGTTTTGTCTGACGCCAAAGCTCGCTATTCTCAGGTCATTAAATCTCGTATCTCATCACAAAAATTAGGCTCTCGAGACTTCTGGAGAATCTTTAACAGTATCAATAATAAGGGCAAATCTGTTATTCCTTCTCTCTTGTATGGTTCAGACTTTGTCACCTCACCTAAAGACAAAGCTGAATTGTTTGCTAAGAACTTTTCATCAATATCATCTCTCGATTCCACTAGTTGCGTTTTACCTGACATAGCTGTCAAACAGGTTGATCCCTTGCTTGACATTCGCATCACTTCAGCTTCTGTATCAAAAGTAATTTCCTGCTTAGACTCTTCAACAGCTTGTGGTCCTGACAACATTCCTGTTGTAGTCTTGCAGAGGTGTTCTCCGGAGCTTTCATCCATACTTTCTAAACTATTTAACAAGTGCTTATCAGAGTCTTGTTTTCCATCATGCTGGAAAGCAGCATCTGTTATCCCTATTTTCAAAAATTCTGGAGAGCGATCTGATTTATCTAACTACCGTCCCATTAATCTTCTTCCTGTCATAAGCAAGGTTTTTGAATCTTTAATCAACAAACACTTAATCTCTCATCTTGAATCAAATAACTTACTTTCTGATCATCAATATGGATTTCGGTCTTCTCGTTCTACAGCTGATGTGCTAACAGTAATAACCGATAGGTTTTACCGTGCATTAGATAGAGGTGGAGAGGTTAAGGCTATCGCATATGACATTTCTAAAGCTTTTGATAAAGTTTGGCATGCTGGTCTTCTCCATAAGCTTTCTTCTTATGGTGTAGCTGGTAACATCTTTAAGATTATTGAGTCCTTTCTTTCCAATCGTAGTATAAAAGTTGTCCTCGATGGACAACACTCTTCTTCACATCCTGTAACTTCAGGTGTTCCTCAAGGTTCAATCCTTGGCCCTATACTCTTTTTAATTTACATTAACGATCTTCCAGATATTCTCACATCTAAGGTGGCATTATTCGCTGACGACACTACCATTTACTCTTGTCATGATAAGAAGCCTACACTCTCTGATTGCCTGGAGGGGGTATCTGAGCTTGAAAAGGATCTCACTTCTGCTACAACATGGGGCTCACAGTGGCTGGTGAACTTTAATTCAGATAAAACTCAATTTTATTCGGCCAATCGTTATCGTAATAATTTAGATCTTCCTATATTTATGAATGGTAATGTACTAGATGAGTCATCTACCATTCATCTTCTAGGATTAACTCTTACTTCTGATCTTTCTTTT